CTTAGGTCTTTGCCTGGTCTGCCTGTCTGTCTGTCTCTCTCTTCCTCCCCCGACCCTCCACCACTTCTTGCCCCCCACTCCCATTCCCCCCCACACACACACTACAGAGATATTGATCACCAGTGTCTCTTACCCAAGTTAATTGAATTCTTAAAGTAAAAATCTTATTGAAGAAAACAGCCATATAAAATAGAACACAAATCTTAAGTGATAAACTTTCATAAAGTGAATGTCTCTTTATAAAGAAACACTGAAGCTAACTTTCCAGAAACCACTCATGTTTCCTTACTCACCACTGAAAATGACTACTCTCCTTATTTCAAACACCAAATAATCAGTTTGTGTATTCTTAATCTTCACATGATCTCTGGTGGCATAGTCTATAAGGAGTCGTTCTGCTAGTTCAAAGGCCACCCCTCTCTGATGGTTCAAATCTACCAGCAACTCCACAGAAGAAAAGACAGGCACTCTAGTTTTTCAAAGTTGTTGTTGTTGATTGCCTTTGAGTTGAGCATGACTCATAGCAACCTTATGAACAAAAGGCCTGAAACCCCTCTACAACTATCGACATGTATCAAACTTCATAGAGTTTCCGGAGGCATGTTTAGGAAGTGGATGCCACTCCTGCTTCCAAACCTCTCATAGTATGTTATTGTTATGTGCCATTGAGTCACCTGTGATGTATAGTGATCCTATGTACAGCAGCTCTGAACCCTTCCCTGTCCTGAGCCAGTGTCACTAATTCTGACACACCAACTCCGATCTCCCCAGTTACTATATCAACCATCTCATCTGGGGTCTCCCTCCCCTGTGCTGTCCGTTCACCATTCTGAGCATGATGTCCTTCTCCAAGGACCAATCTCTCCTGTTCAAAGTTCCATACACAAATTCAGTCATCTTTAATGATATATTTTCTAACATTCATTCCCTTTTATAACAACATATTCCTTTTAAAAATATTGTCTTTGACTACAAGATTTCTGTCAGGATAATTTTTCACATTTAAAAAGGAAAGAACTGAAAAAAAGGGAAAGAACTTGCTTGGCATTTCTAAAACTAAAAGAACTGAAAAATAAATTCATATTTTGGGTCGTAATATTGAAGGTTTTATTATGGGAAAACTCTTGAATGATCCAGGAAACTCAAAAGAAGATAGAAAAAATGCACAGTCACTGTACAAAAAGAACTAGCTGACACAGAACCATTTCAGGAAGTAACATGATAAAAAACCAATGGTAATGAAAGAATAAGTTCAAGCTGCACCGAAGGCATTTGCCAAAAAGGAGAATAGATGGAATATCAATGTTTTAAATAACAGGTGCAGACCTGGATTTGTATACCAATCTATGCCAGGAAATTTGGAAGATAGCTAACTGGTTGGCTGACTGTAAGAAATCCATATTTATTTCCATTCCCAATAAAGGTAACAACAGAAGGTGGAAATTATCAAACAATATCATTAATATCACACAATACTGCTGAAGAGTACAAAAATGGCTAGAGCAGTACATTGACAGAGGAATTCCAGAAGGTAAGGCTGGATTTAGAAGTGGCTGTGGCAGCAGGCATGTCATTGTTGATGTCAGATGGATCTTGGCTGAAAGCAGAGAAAACCAGAAGAATGTCTATCTGGGTTTTATTGATGATGCAGAAGCATTTGACAGTATAGATCACAACAAATTATGACTAACACTGAGAGGAATAGGAATATCAGAAAATTTAATTGTGCTCATCTAAAACCTATACCTATACCAAGAAGCTGCTGTGTAATCAAAGCAAAGGAATACGGCATGATTTAGAATTGTGAAGGGTGTGCTTCAGTGCTATATCCTCTCTCCATACCTCTCTCTATATGCTGGGAAAATCATTAGAGAAGTTGGACTTTATGAAGAAGAGTGTGGCTTCAGGATTTTGAGGAAGGTCCAGAAATAACTTGCATTATGTAGATGATATGACCTGAAAGTGAGGAGGACATTAAGTGCTTGCTGCAGAGGATCAAGGACTGTAGACTACGGAGGATCAAGGACTGCAGCCTTCAATGTGGATTACATCTTAACATCAAGAAAACATAAATACTATTGGGCCAATAGGCAACATCATGATAATGGAAATAAGACTTTGTCAATGATTTAATCTTACTTGGGTCCATAATCAACATCCTTGCTACCAGCAATCAAAAAATCAAAATACATATCGCACTAGGAAAGTCTGCTGTAAAAGACCTCGTCAAAGTACTAAGGAGCAATGATGTCAGTTTAAAGACTAGGGTGTGTCTGGCACAGGCAACCACTTCCTACCCTTCTAAGAGCTGGATTAAAGATCACAGAAGAAAAATTGATGTCACTGAGTTGTGGTGTTGGAGGAGTACCGAATATTCCATGGACTGCCAAGAGAACAAAAGGATATGTCTTGGAGAAAATTTAGTCAAAGTGTTTCTTAGAGGCAAGGACAACAAAATTATGACTCACCTATTTTGGGCCTTTTGTTAGATGGAGTCATTCCTTGGAAAGAGATGGAGGGTCAGCTAAGCAGGGGAAGACCCTCAATAAGGTGTGCTGATACAGTGATGACAATACTAGACTAAAATACGTCAGATAGAATGAGGATGGGACAGGATAGGACAGAGTTCAGATCCATTGTTCATAAGTTGATATGAGTCATAGTTGACTCAATGGCACCTAACAACAACCACAACAACATTAACAATAACATTCAAGAGGTCAAATAAATACATCTTGGAAAAAGAGCAGCCAAGGTGTTTCTTGGAGGCAAAGACGATAAAGTTTTACCTGGCATATTCTGGGCATGTTTTTAAGAGGGGCCAATCTTTGGAGAAAGACATTGTTGGAGAAAGACATGCTTGTGAAGATAGTGAAAGAGATGAAGACCCTCAATGAGATGGATTGACCTAGTAACTGTAATAACGTGTTCAAATATATCAGATGATGAAGATGGCATAGGATAAGGCAATATTCTAATCTATTGTTCACGGGGTTGTTGTAAGTTGTAATCAACTTGACAGTGCCTAACAACAACAACAATCAATCAATCATCTGTTATAGGATTCTTATTACATGTACATTATTTTTCTGGATATTGTTCCACATAATTTATGTTTTCTTAATTTTTCTTTTTTCTGATTGTTCATCATACAAATCAGTGTAAAGGCTTTGTCTTCTATTTTGCTAATTCTGTTTTCCATTGCTCCAATTCTACTCTTCTGTCTTTCTGCTATACCTATACCTAGACCAAGAGGCTGTTGTGCAAACAAAGCAAGGGAACACTGCATGATTTAAAATTGGAAAAGATGTACATCAGGTTTGTATCTTCTCACCATATCCAAGCTGTATACTGAGCAAATTATATGAGAAGCTGGACTCTGAAGAAGAATGTGGCATCAGGACTGGAAGAAGACCCAACAATAACCTTCATTATGCAGATGACACAACTTTGCTTGCTTAAAGTGAGGAGGACTTTAAGGACTTGCTGCAGAAGATCAAAGACTACAACCTTCACTATGGATTGCATCTCAACATCAAGTAAACAAACATTCTCAGCACTGGTCCTATAGGCAACATCATGATAGCTGGTGATGAGATGGAAACCATCAATGACTTAATTGTACTTGGATGATCCACTATCAATACACTTGGTATCAGCAGTCAGGAGATCAGGAGGCATATTACACTGGAAAAGTCTGCTTTTAGGGACCTCTCCAAATTACTGAGGAACAGTGATGTTAGTTTGAAGATTAAGGTACACATGATTCAGGCCATGGCCTTTTCAGGAACATATATGACAGACTTATAACATATATATTATATATGTAACATATATATATGTAACACACACACACACACGGAAGCAGGAGCTACCTGCTACTTCCTTGTTCCTCAAACTCAACCTGGGGGGACTGAACCCCAAATTCCTGCAGCCAAGGCAAGGACGTCTCCTCCCTGCCGACCTCGGTCCGATTGACACGTCTGTCTGTGGCTACCTAGATTTATTCGGTTCGAACCTTCAAGCACAAATGTAACAACGTCAGACCCTTAGAAAGACAGGGAGAGAGACAGAGGGAGAGAGTGCTCGCTTAACTTACCAGCAGGAGATAAAACGCTCAACGTGACAAGAGTTCTTTGGGGGGCGCTTCCCGGCCAATGCACCAAATGTTGTGCCCACGAAATGCCCCTCAAAGAAATCTAGAAACACGTCTGAAATTTCAAGAACTTTTATTGTTTAATTTTTCCACACGTGGAGGCTTTTCTGCCTTCCTCAGAAAAGTGGTGAAGGGAAAAAGCCCTGAGTTTTCCCTCCCACTTGCTTTTATAGCTTTTCCTTGGGTGGCCCTGCTAGGGCAAAGAGATTGGTGGGCCAGGGGGTCAGTCATTTGGTTGGCTTTTGATGGGCTGGTTACTTTACCCGCCTTTACTCTTTTTGTGTCACGTAGACACTAGTTAATTCCTTACTTCTTCAAGGACAGACTGGGCTTTACCCGGGGCACTCGTGTTTGCCCTAAGCCAAGAATTTTTATGGCCCACTTCTGCCTCCAGCACTAATGGGGGTTTATAAAAAAAATGGGGTTTCTGCTGCCCCTTCACTGCAGGGCCTTTACAGAGTCTCTTTAGATCCCCTGGCTGATTTCCAACTGAACTGTGGACCACTCCCGCCCAGTCCTGCAGTCTTTCCTGTTTATATTTCATTGTCACATGAGATTTCCAGTGACATAAATTTACAAACTTCCATTTCATCCAAATGAAGATCCATTTTGGCTGGTTTTCTCCTGCCTAAATGTTAGGCATCCAATTGAATGTGTTTCAAAAATTAATATAATTTATTTTCCATTTTGTCAGTGCCAAATGAAAAATTCTTAAGACAAAGCACTGAAGATCGGAATCTTTCTTCCTCTTCTACTTCTGACATTCTTATAGCAAGTATAAACAGTTCTGTAAACATGTGTGGGTCTGTGTTCAAGTGTGCACTGATCCACGTTTCATTCTGTCCTTAACTGGCGTCACAGCAGGTAAGTGCCCGGTTGGCCTCCTTGTCTTGTTCAGAACGGAGACTCCCGTAACATCTGGACTTTCATCAAGGCCCGTTTCAGCTGCTCATAGGTAACAAACATCATCACATTCCAGGCTCCCAAACGCAAAAAAGAGGGTGTAAATCTAATGGGATAAACAAACAATGAAATGTCAGGTGGGCTGGCTAAAACCAGCACCAAACCCCTCTTGTGTTTCCTCCCAAATGGAACTTAATGCCAAAGGACAAAAATTTTCTTAGTCATGGGCTTATTTCTGAGATATACTCAGTGTTTCCCCTCCCCCCTTTTTAGGCAGAAGTTGGAATCAGAAAAAGAAAGAAAATGAACATTTCTTTTGAGCCAGGGTGGGATAACTGCAAGTTACGCATGTTCTCTAGTTGATTCTCAAAACAATTCTGTAAGGTGGCTATTTATTCTTAGTGCCAGGTTTCACTTTCAGAAACTGAGACACAGGAAAGCTAAGTATCTCAGGTTAAATCAATCGACTAATAAATGAATGCCAGGGGAGCTCAGGTGAACTCCACAGGGAGTGGCACTGCTGACCCAATGTCCGAGCTTGTCTGGCAGTTCAAACCCACCAGCAGCTGCAAGGGAGAAATATGGCCAAGCTCTTCCTGTGTGATTTCCAGTCTCAGAAACCCAAATGGAATGCCAACTATGAGTCAGTCCCTACTTGATGACAATTAGTTTGAGGGTTTTTTGTTGTTGTTGTTGTTGTTGTTGTTGTTTTTTAGCAAATGCCAGAGAGAAGGTTCCATGAGTTCTGTCCGGCCTGACTTTGCCCGGCTGCTGGGTATTGGTATTTCTGGGTGTATTTATATCCCAAATGGCCAGTTCTGAGGCCTCTTATCAGAACATTCACACTTTTCCCTCTTAGATTGGGCTGAACTCCGATGTAGGGTCCTTACCAGTAACAGTTTTATAGTGTGGCACCAAATCTAGCTAATCTCCAGTGAGCCTGTCTGTCCCCAGAACAAAAATGTTTCTGAGATGGGACAGGAGGAACAGTCCCCTTTACAGCCTTGGGGAGAAGACCTGCTAGTCAGTCAGTCTCCCCGATCTCCTCCTAGTCTCCTCTTCTAGTTCTCAGGGTATCACGTCTTCTCATGGAACCACATACTTCTGTGCATTTGCTCACGTTGTTCCCTCTGTTGGAATGTCTCCTGCTTGCATCTTGGCTTCACCAGTTGTTCCTTCTTCTGAAGAACTTAGTATTTTTTGTCATGTTTTGAATTAATCCTGCCTAGGTCCCTCACAGGGAATACCATCATGGTAAAGCGTATGAATTCTATGTACGCCCATGTTCATAGCAGAGTTATGCACAATAGCAAGAATACAGAAACAGCCCAAATGCCCATCAACAAACAGATGGAGTGAGAGATTGTGATGCATTTACATAAATGGAATACTATGCAGCACTAAGGAGCAATGATTTTGTGAAATACTATCTGGCATAGGAGAGTCTAGACAGCATTATGCTGAATAATGAACTAACTCAGTCTTATAAGGATAAATATTGCACAAGACCGTTATTGCAAATCTAGAGGGATAACTAGTAAGATGTGTATAAAAGCCCAAAGGGGATGGAGAAAGGGAGGAGGAGACAGGAAAAGGGAAGAATGGAAATTAACAGGGTATTAGAGTTTAGTGGGTGGATTGGGGCGGAAAGGGGAGGGAATGGGAGAAATTCAATGGGGACTTGAAAAGACAATGCAATAATAGGCATAGATCAATGGTAATTAATTACTGGGATACAGTGTATATGAATGATTACATGAAGTGCAATGTAAAGGAACAACTGTATGGAACACAATGTATATGAATTAAACACAATGTAATGAATTATTATATAAAAACCAATAAAAATACTCCACTGCCAACCCAAAGGCACCTGGTTCAAATCCCCCAGCTGCTCTACAAGAGAAAGAAGGGCAATTTTTCTGCTGTGTGATTTGTCTCTAAAAACCCTCTGGAGGTTCAGTTATGAGCTGGTTCTGACTTGACAGTATGTAACAACAATATACAGGTCAAAACTCCCCAAAGCCATGAAATCTATTCCAGTACACAATGATCCTATAGGGCAGCATAGAACAATACAGATGCAATCAGGAGATATTAACTGTACTTAATGAATGCGGTATAAAATATGGGAGGAGGTGAATCTGAACTAGTCTTGAAGGAGAGCTATATTCAGTGCATGCAGACAAAAATGGAAAGGCATTTCATGCAAAGGGAACAGTACGTGCACAGACATGGCAGCTCCTGAGGCGTGCTGGAGCACTTCAGGTGTTGTCAGGTGATGAACATCACAGCAATAGCTTGTTGTCATCTCAGGATTACTAATTATCTCTTTACCCCCATCCCTCTGCCCAGTATATCTGACGTTACCCAGCACAGGAGTCCCTGGATGACACAAACGGTGATGTGCTCAGCTGACAGCTGGAAAACAGGCCTGGGTATTTGCCACAGTCAGAATCAACTCCACAGCAGTTAACAAGATCAAATTCTTGAAGTAAGGTTTCCCCCCCCCAAGTTTTTCCTGACACTCTAAATGGGGTGGGGTTTGTTTTTAATTAAAAATTTTAAATCTGTTTATACATTTCCTTTGTGGCATTTACATCTGTGCTGTTCACCCCAGCATCCCCAGGTAGATCCATGTGGGTAGGTTATGGACAAAAACCGAAGGAAGGAAAGCAGGAAGCCTGGCTTCTCTGAGAGAAACTGCACAGGCGGGAGGAGGCCCACTCACCCCTTGTAGAAGGCCGTGGGACCCTCCTGGGCCACCATCATCACCACACAGTCCAGGGGGCTGAGGTAGCGGCCCGGGGGCGAGTTCATATAGCGCGTCTTCACCACGTCCACTGGGGAAGCCACCACTGTGGCACAGAAGCCAGCTCCAAAGGCAGAGACAAAATGGCAGGGGAAGTTGTCTGTAGAGGGGAAGGGAGAGCAAATGCCAGGCTGGGGTACTGGGGGTGCACGTGCTTTCTGTTCCATGTTTGTTCCTTGTCCCCAGAAAAGGTTTAAACTCTTTCAGCGTAAGGACAGTATTTTCCATATCGCAGTACCCAGGGTAAACACACAATAGTAACTGCTGGGTTGATTCTGTCTCAAGGTGATGCCCCCATGTGTTGGAACAGAACTGTCCTCCCTCCAAAGGGTTTTCAGTGAGTAATGTTTTAAGAAGTTCACCAGGCCTTTTTCTGAGTTACTTCTGGGTGGATTTAAGCCTCTAACAATTCTGTTAGCAGCTAAGCACACTAATGTTTGAATCACCTGGGGACTCTGAGCTTTTAGCAGGTCCTGGCAAAACTAGAAGGGTTCTGTTGGAGAGTTAGAGGGTTATCATTTGGTTTGTAAGGAAATGGAAGTTAAATAAGGTGAGGGACCTTTGAGCTCAGGTTACACAGGAAGAGGTGGCCCTGGGACTTAAACTCTGGTCTTTGGCCTCCTAGGCCAGAGTTCTTTCTTACTTATGACAATTCTGTACTGAGCTTTTTTTTAAAAAAAAAATTCCTTAATTTCTATTCCTGGTACCACCATCATGATTAACAAGACAATATAACTAAGTTAATGAAAACAAAAAAGGCCAAGAAATGTTTATCTAGGGAGTTCTGGTGGACTAGTGGCAAGAAGCTTCACTGCAATCCCAGAGATAAATGGTTCGAATCCACCAGATGCTCTGCTGGAGAAAGAGGGGCAATCTCCTCCTGTACCAGTCAGATCCGATTTGACAGTACACACACACAAATTAATAAAATAAATTTAAAAAATTTTAAAAAGATGTATATCTAATTGGCACTGCACTACACAGATCAATAAATGCATTTCAGCAAACAGCGGCTATGCCTATCCTGAACCAGAAGGCTTTCCTTTTAAGCTGAAGTAACTGCTGATTACGCATCCTCATTTCTTCTGTGGCAGATGTTTACAGATCCTAATGGCATTTGGATCACCTGCCGCAAAGTAACCTGCAGTTTTCTTGATCACTCCTTGCTCTCTCCTGCTAAGAACTGTAGCCCTTTTCTGCTAAATTTTTTGAAACTTTTACTACCATATCCACCACTTTCACAACCAGATATATAGAATCAACACCATACGAACTTCCTGCGTTTTCCCCACCAAAATGCCCTCTTTCTTTTTTTTAATTTTTATTTTACTTTATTATTTTTGTGTGAGTGTACCGTCAAATCAGATCTGACTGGTACAGGAGATTGTCCCTCCTTCCTCGGCAGAGAATCTGGCGGATTTGAACCGTGCGCCTCTGGGATTGTAGTTGCAGTTCTTTGCCACTAGGCCACCAGAGCTCCCCTAAAATACCCTCTTTCATAGGTCCATAATTTGTTTGCTATTATCCATTACAATTAAAAACAAACAAACATTAACTACCACCACAATTACTACTGCCAAAATGTTCTCCTTCATTGTAACCATTTTCCACTTCTACCATCATCTCCTTCATTTGTTTTCCATATCCCGGTCCTTTACCACATTTATTACTATAATCAGACCACCACCATAGTTGCTACCATCAACTCTAAATCCATTCTATGCATCGTAACCTCTTCCATGACCACCTCCTCTTCCACCAGTTTCCACCACAGCCCGGGTTCCCCCACCACCTTCAAAGTTTCCTTCACAACCCCTAAAGCTGACCTAAATCTGCTGACCTCTTTGTAGTCCGACATGGCATCTCTTGTTTAAAAAGGGTCTTTCTCACTTCACAATCATGTTCACTAATAGTGTGGTTGGTGTTTCTGAACAACAATTTTATGGTTTCAATCTTGCTATATTTTTCTAGTTTCTCAAACGATATTCCTCTGTATCTTAAATGCTACCAACAAAAATATTCTTCCTTGTTAGATGGATATCGAGCTTCAGAAATTTTGAAACAAATTTGTGGTTTGGTTCCACTACACACCCATCAGCCGTATGTGGTCCAGCAAATGCTGTCCATCCACCTCTTAAACACATGCGGAAGCCACAAAACCAAAACCTCCTGGGGTGTTGTTTGGGAATCTCTCATCACTATACAATCTGGACTGAGTGTGTCTCATTTCTCAAAACGTTCTCTTAAACTATCACTTGTATTTTCAAAGCTCTTAATAACAAGAAACAGTCTTCATATAAATTCTAGGGTCTTTGGATCATGGCTCTCCTCTCCCCGGCAGCTCCTGGCTTTGAGCTGGGGTGACTGGGAGGTTGTTATTGTTATGTGCCGTCGAGTCTTTTGCGACTCATAGCGACCCTATGTACAACAGCCCTAACCCCTGCTCTATCCTGTGCCAATTGCATTGCCTCTGACACACCCATCCCGATTACCCCAGTCACTGAATCAATCCACCTCATAGAGGGTCTTCCCCTCCGGCACTGTCCCTCCACCCTACCAAGCATGATGTCCCTCTCCAAGGCCCTGTCTCTCCTTACAACATGTCCAAAGTATGTCAGACAAAGCCCCAGAATCCTTGCCTCCAAGGAGCAGCCTGGGTTAACCCTCTCTAGGATGGATCTGTTTGTTTTCTTGGCAGTCATGGTACATTCAATACTCTTCTCCAGCACCACAGCTCAAAGGCGTCAATTCTCCTTCTGTCCTCCTTAGTCATTGTCCAACTCTCTGATGCATAACAAGTGATTGCAAAGACCATGGCCTGTATCAGGTACACCTTAGTCTCCAGAGAGACACTGTTGCTCTTGAGTACTTTAGAGAGGTCCCTAACCGCAGACTTTCCCACCGCAATATGTTTTTTTTATTTCCTGGCTGCTGGTGCCAAGACTGGGAGGTAGTTTAGGTAAAACCCTTTTGAGACTGGACTTGACTCTTCCAACTCAGGTAGTGTCTTCACTTATCTTTTTACTGGGTACCACTTCTCTCCCTAGTCCTTCTGAAGCCCAGTTGTCTCTGAGTGGTGTCTATGCCAGGATATTCTAAGTTCTTTCTCTGCTGGACCCTTGAGGACTTCGGGTAAGAATGGCAGGTTTCTGTGGAGGGTTGTTGGCCCAAAACCCCTGGGCTCACCGGTCAGCAGTTGATGGTCTAGCAGCTTCTCCTTGATGATGTCATAGGTCACCATCTCAGCACAGTTGACAATGGCATTCCTTGTGATGTTGGGGAAAGTTCCTGTTAGGAAGTGAGGAGAGAGCTGATGAGCAGGGATGGGAGAAGTGGGCACTCTGGCCTCAAGGCCTTAAGTTGTGTCTTCTAGTCCCCTACGTCCTTTGAGTGGAACAGTGCTCATACCCTTGGCCTTCATCAGAGGAGCCCACCAGAGGCCCTGCAGGTCCAGCTGAGCAGATTCCACATCTTCCCCTCTCCTGTTTAACAACTCTCACATAATCCAGTCTCACCAGAGACAGGAAACAAAGAGGCCTATTGTGTCTTCTTGGGCCACATTGTGGGAGACAGTTGACAAAGGCTTTAAAAATTAAACTATGCCCCCCACTCCAATACCAAGCTGGTATAAAAAAGTAAGTCTTTCTTTGGAAGGGAGAGACTGAGCCCTTGGTACAGAATGAAATGCTGGCAGGGCCCTTGGGGAACATATCAAAACCGCCCCCTTCATTTCCCAGAAGAGGAAATGTCGTCCAGGAGGGAGGACACACAGCACGTAAGGGCAGAACCAGGGCTAGGACCCCAGTGTTTTGTCCTTAAAGCCATGTGGCTTTGAAAAGCTTTACTGGACCACTGTTTCTTCTGTAAGAATTCATGTGGGCCCAGGCCTGCACATGGGAAAGAGCCCAGCACTTGTCGAATTGGTGTCTGTGTGGACACTTAGGAGCACTTAATCCTAAGGAAGGCCCCTTCTCCTCCCTGCCTCTCCCATCTGTCCTCACCACTGAGCTCTTCCTGTGCTTCTCCCTGTACCCTGAGTGATTCATTCTGCTTAGACTTTTTCTTGGAATCCCTGTCCCCTTCCAGTTAGAGCTTACTTAGCCTTCGAGGTCCTGTTGAAATGTCACCTCCTCTTGGAGCAGGGCATGGCCTCTGCCGCTTTGATCTGTACCTCTGCACCTAGCACTTCCTGTCTTGGAGTACAGCTGCTCCTTGGTAAGTTTTCTCCTCTGTCTATAAGAGCCTTGAATGTGGCTTATGGAAGATGGCTTCTATTCATTTCTATCCTCTCACAGCAGCCTGGACACAGTGACTATTTGGAAAGTTGAACTGAGTTTTTAAGCACTATGATGAGTGAATGGGGTATTTTTGGCTGACACGTTCTTTAACACTCTGCAGTAAAACCAGCCTCAGATCCCCCTCCCATGTTTATTCCCATGCCATTCTTAGATGCCTGGAGCCTGAAGCTCTGACCTACCCTTCCACAGGCCCCGGATTCCTTCCTCCTTGGCGATAGTTCTGTAGGCATCCATAGTCCCGTTGTATTTTCTGTTGCTCCCGGGCCCAAGATTTATGCTGGCCTGAAATCGGACTTTGACCACATCCGTGGGCTGTGCACAGGTCACTGCCATGGCCCCTGTGGTGCATCCTGCCAGGATCCGGGTCGCGATGCTGGAATCTGGAGATGAGAAGAGAAGTGGCCCCTGTCCTGCCGCTGCACACCTTGATGGGATTGACGCTGTTCTCTGTGGGGCTGGCCCTGCTGGTACTCGAGTTCTTTTTCTGAGTTAAGTGTTTGAAACATCCTTAACAGTAATTCAGTCTCCTCCAGAAGGTCTGTTACCAGCTTCTTCCCCATGCCCACAGCTCTGCCTCGGAGCCTGGACTGCCTGGCTTCCTGACCTTCATTTGGACCCCCTGGTCCATGAGGTATGTGGGCACTCACGGTCCGATCCTTTAGGGGTGTAGAATTGCTTGACCGAGTCATAGAGGCCAATGCGGATGGAAGCAAAGCTCATCTGGCGCTGCAGGCCGGCGACCAGCCCGTTGTAGGGACTGCGGGGGCCCTCCGTGCGCATCATGGTCACGATGGTGCCCAGCACTCCGCGATACTGCACACTCCGGGTGGCTGGGGCTGCCTGGCTCTCCCCCTGAATCTGATGGACAGTCACAGAAGTTGTGAGAGGAGCTGGGGTGGGAACACAGGGACCCTGCCAGGTCTGGGACTGTCTGACCTGGACACTGAGAATGTGCTCTCATTACAGAAGTTCCGTCAAAGCAAAAATGACCAAGGTTTGTGAGGTATTTCATGACTCATAATGCAATGGTATCCACAGTGTGGCATTTAATCCT